TCCTAAACGTTGAAAGATCAGGGTTGTCCCATTTGCCTTGACTGCTAGGTAGTCAGGATGGTGATATCTTTCTAGAGAATTATCTGTTTAATATGATATTATATGGGTGAGCGTCAGTGGTTGTGGAACGTCAGTTGGAAGACGTGTATTGATTTCAACACCTTAATATGAGGTTAGACGCCTTAAGTATAGGTTTCCCAGTGGGAAAGAGGGTGGGTGGGATGGATGCCCTTAATGGCAACATATCTATTTACAATGTATACCTTAAGGGATTCAGCTCCATTACCCATCTGCTGAACCACGACTATCCATTTGACAGTTCGGGTACGTCAATATGCATGTTGTATTACAATTCTATAAGAAAGGGTAAATAATATAATCCAGGCGACATTGCCGACGTGTGCAAAAAACGATGTCGGACCGGTACCTACATGTAGCAGGTACCCTCTACCACGGTCAGCCATCAACCACCGCACAGATTTCACCCTCGCGTCCTGCCGGTTAGCAAACAAAGGACAAACTTTGTACTTATCTTAGTCCTGAGAGAACCCAGGGACACACAGAATACTCATACTCGTTTGCTTCCCATTAAACCGTTCTGGAGGATTCCACTCACATTCTGCCCCCGTGTTGAACTGATCATATTCTGTGCATGAAGACGGCCAATCAGTAATCTATGGATTCACGACCTGACCAAAAGCCTCAATCCCAAGGTCTGTGGAGTGGGTCAAATACTGGAAGACAGTCTGAGGGATACAAATTGAGGTCGTCAGAACACCTATTACTTCCTAAATGTGTTGTTTTGGCCTTTTGAATGGGAAACGTCTGAAACTGGTGGTTAGTGCGCGGGTCGTATAGCAGCTGCCGTACACTGCTGAAGGATGCCGGGTTTGGTGAGATGGATCTAATTTCAGGTCTTTGTCGTCAAACCCTCATCATCGGGCGTTAATTTAAGCCAATGCTTACCTCCGAAAAATATTTCCATATCAATGTAAGCTCTCCTTCCCGAGCTCGGGGAATGAACATGCAATAAAGTTTCAATTAACATGCAGAGAGCCATAGAAGTGCCTGAGGGATTATGTCATTTTGTGATCTTTACCTATAAACACACGAAAAGACTAATGGTGTGCCCTCATAACACCACAAATTGTCACTAACGCCCTTCACACTGCCAGTAAGTCCCGAGGGTTTTCCTGTCTACTGAAATACTGAATAGAGGATCCGCTTCTTCTAACAAGCTGGTTCCAAGGAAAGGCCGGAAGATGGTCATTAGAAATATAAGAAGTTTCAAACATCAGAGAAAAGTTGTATAACGTCCTTGGTCAGAGATATCTCACCTTTAATTACGCAGAATGTACAGACCAACCTACTTAATGTGAATATCAAATCAATGCAATACTTTGTAAGTCTGCACTGTGGTATCATCAATAAATATTTCAAAGTGTTCTATAGTAATATTTTGTCTTCATGCTCTGACAGTCCAATTACAATTTGATTTATAGATCTGGACAATGTCCATTTTGCTCTTAATGGCTGCTTTTATTAAACTTTTGTTGACATTTTAGAACTGTTGGTTCATACATTTCATTTATTCATTCAATCTTCGGAAAATATGGGTAGAGCCCACCCCTCCCCGGCAAAAAAATTTAGCATATATGCTGAAATTAACACAAATTGATTCATGAAACAACGTATAAACGTTCCATAACGTGTTATGTAAAGTGGGTCATGTGAAATCACCACGATGATTTACAATTATAGGCGTTTCATAAGCATTCTCTTCGCTACCAAATCTTACATGTTCGGGGAGAAGTGCGCTTGGTATCATTACGAAAGAACTTTCCGTTGCGCTAGTCTCCTTTGCTGGCTGAAATAATAAAAGTTGACCAGGCGGGGCGGGGCAAATTATTAAAAATGAAATTTAAGGAAATAGCGGGCAGGAGGCAAGTCTCTGGTCACTGTTTTTGTGCTGTACTTGGACTACGTATTCCTTCAGGGACATGCACGCATGATTTGGTGTCATGGTGTAGTTACACCAGAGATGTTCACGCACCAAAACACAGAGCATTCAAAAAAGGACGCTTTAATTAATTTGAAGTTTGTTATAACGTACTCTATTTTAGGCGTTGTCGGTCCCATCGTAATTGCTACAACACGACAGGGTTTCTTGTCTGATAATTAAAATGGTATCGTCATTACTACCCCTGTTGCCACCTGCTGTTGACATGCTCGTCACGGCCATTCCCTTTATTTAGCCAAACATAGTCGAATATACGGCCTCCCGAACACTGCCGGTAGGTCGGGAGCAAGGTTGGCTGATGTTTGGCGACATCGGCTACTGTCCGCTGTGCCGGCAGAATGTTTCACTGAATATTAATGTTTCACAATGTTTGAAACATTCGGGTGTGGTTGTAGTATGTCAGCAGTGTTTGGGGTGGCCCATGGTCAAATTTGACTCAAATTTAACTCAATTCAATTCGTATAGAAAGGTAGGCGTGGCCTAAATATGATCAGAATCAGACTGCTCCCTGCTAGTGTTTGGGGGGAAAGGTTGGGGGAAGGTCCTGAATAAGTGACAGGGCCTCTGATGCACATGTTTTAGACTGGGGACCATTAAGAGAACTAGTTGTGCGTAGTCACCTGTGCGCTTCCCCGTCTGAAAATCTTTGGTTCATTGAAAATTGGTTCATTCAAAATGATTTGCCTTGGAATGCATTGAGCAGGTCAACCATATGCCAGCACAAGCTGCAGGGAAATGGTCACTTCTCAAGCGAATCAGTACGTTCAGCCTATCACTGAATGAACTATCGTTGATCGATCTACACGGGATATATCCGTCCATTCGGACCAAACGACGATTCAAAGAAGAGCATGCCGTATCGTCGCATCAAGGGCCGCGCACACCCTGGATATGAAAATAAAACGTCCACCTGGTCCTTCTCGCTCGCAGAAAGGCGTGAGAAATCTCTTTTTGGAATTTGAATGCTCATGATACCTAATCCCGGATTTTGCATCACAGAAATGGTCACAAACTCAACATCCCCAAGACAAGTGCACTCTGATACAGAAATTCCCCCATACTCCATTACTATTATCTTAAACCAGTGTGGGCATTCTGTGATTTAAATGTTGAGAGATCTTATCTCAAATAGATCACTGCATGTGTCCTGTTTATAGTCTCTAGATCTGTGTCTATATCGGTATAGCCGGTATAACCACCCTTCGGCTTGACATACCAGCTTCGCAGGCACGCGGCGCGGCGGCAGCTAGCTCACACCCGTATAAGATCGATGGTTCTAATTCCTACAATTAGCTTTGAAACAAGTCGACTGGTTGTACATTACTCGGGTTCTAACTGCGACTAACCAACAAAGTCATCTTGAGTCGTGATTACCAAACACGTGTCACTTGTCGGTTTAGAACTCCGCGGACTGGTCTTTCCCATTCTACTGATCCACGGACAAGAACCACCTCCACGTACTTGCCTAGCGATATCCTAAATCGTCATTTTGATGCAAACGCCCCTGGGGAGCAAGGATGACCTGATTCAGTTCACTAGCTTTAGTACTGATAACAAGAAGGAAAAATCTTTAGAGTGAACAAAAATGCAAGTTTCCACCTTTAATTTTCACCAGTGCCCGCCGGTGCTATTTTCTAAAAAGTATGTTTTAGCGGAAGGGCTCCCTATCGTCAGATTTTCGTCTCTGTCGACATTACAAATTGTAAACCGTAGTGTTGCTTTGCTGATCTGCCGAATGTCTTATTCTGTTATTTTCCCCAATTGATTGATAGTCGCTTGGCAATGTTATACCTTCATACAGATTGAATATTCAATGCAGTATTAGATTCAGGTTGAGAACGTGTACACTCATTTATTTAGTGAAGTCCGTACAATATTAAATTATCGAATAAGCGAATAAGCATGGTGGAATAGTCCATTCTGCTCGTCAAAGGTTTTGCTTTCAGTTTTAACCAAAAATTTAAATTGTGACTTCCTGTGCCATGGTTATGTAAGCGGGGCGGTACCCATTGGTAGAGATACATGTATGTATAAGGTCAGTAATATAACTTGGACGCAGCACCACCTTGGTCGGCTGGTGTTCAGGAGACAAGGTCTGGGGAGGTCCTGAATGAGTGACAGGGCTTCTGATGGACAGTTTTGTAGACTGAGGACCCTTTAATAAGAGAACTAGTTTTGCGTATACGTAGTCCCCTGTGCGCTTTCCCCGTCTGAAAATACTTGGTTCATTAATGGAAGTAAGGTTAAACATTTGTTTCTGCTCTCCTGCAAATGTCTTGAAAGCAGTTGAGCTAAAAGTCATTCCGCACATGTAATTTTATGAGATCTAGACAATTTTTTGCTGTTATGGTTTAGCCATTTTTTTCAATCTCTCCACGTGGTTCACACTTATTTTACCAGGAGGTTCAATTTCATCAGTATACTGTAGTATAAAGGTAAATGGAAGAAAGTGTGTGCGAAATCAGGAAGGACACGTGGCGTTCTGTTGAAAATCCGGATCGAACCGGATCAAAGCTAATCTATTCGCCTCGATCCGGACAATTTTATCCGAGTGGGAAAAGGGCCTAATTGATCGAGGGCTGCTGCTCCCGTAAATAGTTTGTACCACACATAGCGCAGGACCAGTGACAAGTTCATTTACTCGTTACGTTATCATGAGGTTTATCAGATTTTCCAAGAGCTTCCTCCGACTCCATAGACCGCTCCTTCCAAACGACCTACGTGATCATGCAGCTAATGTAATATGTAAATCATTTTGTCGGAAAGCTGCGGCCGTATTTGGTCTGTAGGTGACCTAAAAAGCTCAACCGCCCACCAATTAGCGTCACTCATCATTTCATATTCATGAGATATTTTGTATCGTCATTCTGTTCAGACACGAGTCATCCTGCTAGAGGCTACTACAGAGGGACTGCAGATGGAAGAGCGCGGGCCGTGCATGGTAGAGTAGGACATAATACGACTCGGCGGGGCTCGAAAGATACCATATAGAACCGTACCTCGGTCTCAGTATGGCCTTTTCGGAACACAGGTGACATTTTCCATCTAGTTTGTCCCAAAAATCTAGTTGACAATGTCGAAGTGCGCCGTACAGTAGTAGAACTTAACTCGCTCCACTGAACACCCAGAACTGAGCAGCATGGAGGTCGCAGATAGGAGTTTTGAAGACAACACTACCCTGAACTATGATCCGTACTTCCTCAACTTCAGTACAATGTATTCGTACGACTTCATGGACAATATTACGAAACTGTACGAGTACGATTATGAGTTCGAAGAGGGATTCAACAGCGTCCAGCCGCTCCCAGCCCGCGTCATCCTCGGCATCGTCTACTGCCTCATCATGCTGGTCTGCGGCACGGGCAACTCTCTCCTCATCACCGCCGTCTGCCGCTTCAGGGAGCTCCGATGTGTGGCCAACGTCCTGGTGGCCAACCTGGCGCTGTCCGACCTGCTGGTGGCCGTCTTCTGCCTGCCGTTCCAGCTCGACTACTACATCGTCAAAAACGAGTCCTGGGGATACGGGGACTTCATGTGCGCCACCGTCAACTACGTCCGCACCATGTCCCTCTACGTGTCCACCAACGTGCTGGTGGCTATCGCCATCGACAGGTACGACAAACTCATTGTTTCTATCATTATTATTATTATTGATGAACATGAAGTAATGACAATGAGCTTTATTGCATATTCATGCTTAAGGTAGGATACGTAAAACGTGAAATAAATAAAGTAGTGGAGTAGGAACATTAGGCTATGTCACCTATATCTTCCCTTCTCTTAAAACATGTAGACAAATGTACACTTTTACAATTACATCGTGTGGTAGTCAAGCATACATTTGAGTTCATAAGTTACACGTCATCGTTCAGCAAACGTACACAGAAAGTTGTACTCTTCAGTTCTTTAGACGGGAAGTTTGGCACAGTCGGTCTGTCACTGTTTCTAAGAGTTCTGTGGTGGATATCGCCCCGTTGGGATAGCAGCCGCCCGTTCGCGGTATATTTCGATTCTGATAAGAGTTCGTACCGTCTAGATCTGAACAGGAGACCAAATATCAACGATAGATGGTGGGTCTGTATGTCATCGGGTGAAGTGTACGTTGAAAGTAATTGAACCTAATTCTAGAATAACAGAATAACAACATAGCTTATTAGTATGTGCAAGATTGCCACTTCACTGGCCATATAAGGGGTTCATCGCCTTGCAATGATACAAATTTAATGTACAAAATGTAGTACTTTAAATGCATTTACTTTCGATGTGGGTTTTATTTAGCGGTATGAAAGACTTTGAACAGTAGGTTACGTGGTGTGTGAAGTTAGCTGTTGATTCTGTAGTTCAGTAGAGATCACATATATTCGCGGTGTTATGATTTCACGGTATAGAAATACCGCGAAAATCGCGGAAATTGGACTACCGCGAATTTCACGATTGACAGTATTTATTTATGAAGATTTACCACATTCGTGGAAGGATTGACATAACAGATGATTATCACCTCTTCAATATGTCAACCCTGAGCTCGAGACCAGTATGTACGGTTTGAACCACTCACACTGGGAAGGTCTCCTACTCTTTTTGATAAGTATAGTGGCTTTTTTAACGTGCGTGGGGTGTGGCTCTCCCAAACATGGGACCTCCATTTAACGTCCTGTCCGAGGGACGTCCTTAACCGAAGCTAGGTTCTCATTTACACCTGAGTGAAGTGGGGAAAGTCGTGTAAATTGCCTTTCCCAAGGGTACAAGATCGGTGGCATTGGGTAGGATTCGAACCCGGGACCTCTTATGTCTGAGCCGAACACTTTACCGTTACGCCACACGACCCCACAGTATTGTCTCAATAGAAGCTGTAAAAATCACGCGGGTAACATGGACGTAGCCGTCAGGAGCAATGATTTGTGTGTAGATTCCAACAAGAGGGCAGCCAGGCAATCAGCAATACTTCTGTTCCGGGCGCTCTCCCTCAATCCAAGGTCCAAATCAGAACTGAGTGGCTCGACGAAGTATCTGATGACGTCCTGACGTTCGTCATTTAAGCTTCTTCCTGTTATTTTCAGAAACGGTTGCTATGGTACATTGGTTATTGCAACTGATTGTGTCACTGGTTTTCTACATCCGAGTGTGTCACGTCCTAATTGCCTATCGCCTCAAGCGTCAACAAAATGGGTTTGACTTCATCCCTGCAATATTGCAGTGGAAATGAAATGTCCCGCGTTTTGCGTATTTGGTGTGCTTGGTGATCTAAAGAAATTATTTTTCTATGGGTTCTGACGTGGTTTTCATAATGAGTACTCCCTCCCCCGTAGGTACTACATTGTGGTTCACCGGCCGATGCAGCAGCGGCGCCGGGCTTGGGTCATGATCGTCCCCGTTTGGCTGACGTCCATGATATTCGCTCTCCCATCAGCTGTGAACTCCAAGGTCAGTACTACACTCTAGTATCACACATTACGTCTTTCATACACGTGCACATCACGGGCACATGGCAGGTGTGAAATACCTTACATATTAGCCACTGACCTGGAATACTATGTAGAGCTTCTAGCCTGTTTTTAGTACATGTACATTGTAATTGATCCTGTGGCTGTTTTTAAAAAAAAGGAAAAAAATCAAAAGCCAGGTTATCATTAATTCAGCCTTTTTCTACAGTAGCATCGTCTGTTGCATTGAAGAAGTGCAGTGTGCTTTTCAGTAATTCTTTTCCTTCTTTCTTTCCTTTCTTATAGACAATCATGAACCATCGGAACGGCACGATGTTCTGCGGCCAGGCCTGGTCTGTCCGCTCCACCAAGTACTACCAGGCCTACTACGTCATGATGTTCATCATCGAGTACCTGGTCCCCATCATCACCATGACGTACTGCCACCTCACGCTGTGGCTCAAGGTCCACCGCCGCTCCTGCCCGGGGAACACCAACGAGCGTCAGCAGCAGACCCTGGCCAAGTCGCGCCGCAAGACGGTCACCCTGGTCATCCTCTCCTCGCTCTTCGTCCTGTGCTGGGGGCCGTATCAGGGCTACACGCTGGTGCGAGACCTGTCTCCCCTCATCCTGAAGGAGAAGCTCAACACCACGATCTTCTACGCAGTGGAGGCGCTCGCCATGGGCAACAACGTTGTCAACACCGTGCTGTACGTGGCCCTCAACGCCAAGATACGCAAGTACATCAAGCTGATGGTGACGGAGTCCTCCATCTACAACAGCTTGAACGGAAACGTGTCGGGCAGCTCCTCCTTCCGCGCCTGCAACCGCCCGGCTCCCATCCCCGCCGTCCTGCCTCCTCCCCGGCCAAGCGCCAACCTGACGCACCCGGTGGAGCCCTACAGAGAGCGAGAGACGACAGTGTAAAGTTATAGGGCGATGTAATTAGTAACATTCCCTACGAATGTGAATAAATGGTCTCCACTCCAAGGTTCGGGCCTAGGCACAAAAAGTAGTCTGTAGACAGAGAGATCCATCATTCCAACCTTCACCTAATTCTGAACCAACCTATCGATTAATCGAATAGATATCTACATCCTACGCCAATCAATCAAAAGAAATTGTTCACCCCAATGTGCCAACGTTGCCTACACTTTAGAGTTCGGGGTCAACAGCCTAAAGGTCCATTGGCCTTGTTGTTCGCGTGTACAAACACGTGCACGGAATGGCTAATGCACTTTCTTCAAAGAGTACAAACGATGCCCTTGCTCATACGCCTCAAAAGCAGTCGAAGGGTAAAAAAAAGCCGCACTAATTGCTAACAACAAAGAGGATTAGACAATCATCACATTGGTGCCTCACAACTTCAAACAAGGGCTGCTTGCTTTTTGGTATGATGTTGATGACAGTTTAGAATCCTATTGTACATATTATCATAACGAGGTACACAATATGGCTTGGTTTAGAATGCCATGGCTCGGATTCGATATGCCAATATTGGCTTAAACGCACGGCTTCAAGGCAGTTGCGCTTGATGTAGAAACAGACTAGACAGTCCAAACATGTCATCATTGAGCTGCATTTTTGTAAATCGATAATGGCCTAGCTGCTAGGCCAGAAGTTAACTCAAAACACGTACGTGGCAATGCTTTGAGACTTTTATACAGCTCTGAATCACAATCCTGTCTATTTTATTACCACAAGTGACGCATTTGAAGCAGGATTTGTAAATATATCACTTCAAAGGACCTCTTCAAATGTGTAATGTTGTAATTTTGGAACCCATGTGGACAGTTAGTAGTGAAAAGTGCCAATCTATGGAGGTTGTGATTTTATAGGGCTAGCTTTTGCTCTCAAGTTTTTGAACTAAAGATAGGACAGTGCCATTCTCACTCCAAGTGAACTTAATACAGTTAACCACATTTGCCAATGGACATTTTAAGAAGAATATACCAATGGACAATAACCTGTCAGTTGTATTTTTTAACCAACGCTCGCTGAAGCAGCATCTCTTCAACCAAAGAAAGAAACAATCAAACTTAGGAAGCTGAACTTACTGATCGACTCAATAAGCGAAACAGGGGTTACGAAGGCTGCTAGGGAATTCCCTACCCATTTTAGGCCGGAATTGTGCATGCAAACACCGGTGGTGCCTGTATGTGGTGTTTAGGCAGAGGTTGACGGGAGAGATCGTGCTTTCTTCTGATTAAATACCTTTTTTTCTGACAGCTGAATCCCTTCAAGGATCAGCATGTTAATTTTCCTCGACAAGATGGTAAAGTAGGTTTATAGAGTCACAGAATGCAGTTTGCGCCACCAGAGTCGTTCTTGAATGCGGAGGTTTAACTTTTGTCATTGATCGATCTTTTTTAAAACTTAATAAAGGTCTAACCGGCACAAAAGAACTCGTTCTGTATCAATACGGAAGGGTGTCAAAAAGGCTATTTTTCAGTTATAAATAAATCTAATCACCATATCCCCTGCAGGATGACTGATTACGCTCACAGCATGCTAGCACGCATTTCTGTCTACCCGTGTTTGTCTGATGAATGAATCAAGAAAGGCCGGTCTATCTTGAGCAGTAACGCCGGGAATAGCTTACAATACTACGATGATCTATTAAGTTGCTTGGCATAGTTTAGAATGGTTCGAAACCACAACATGTTTTTCTGAAAATACTGTAGAGGAAGGAGACACCTATATATGGGACAGATCTAGATCCGCGCCAGTCCTGATGTGACATGTGCAAGCCTTCCCTCCGGTTTAAACATTACGCAATAAACTACAAGGATAGCATCCTCGCTGCACACCACCAAAATTGTTTACTTTACAAACTAAAGAATTCAAATCTATTCATACTTTAACTCAAGAGGTAGCTATAGCCAGCCCGGTACTTCAAGTTTGGTACTGGAAAATAGCTAAACATCGAGATGTTTTTCAAATAATTTTCTGAGCTAAAAAAACTGCTATGTTTCGTCGAGGTGATTGATTGTGTTGAACAAAAGTACCACCACATGTATCATAGCTATTTATTGTCGGTGTATACAAAGATAGTGACATAAAAAAGTCAATCTCATTTATTGAGGCATTTTGTGATGTTTGAAAATTCTTGACATATGTTGAAGAGTATATAACGTTATGTATTTACAAAATTTCAAATGTTGTTTACTTGATGTTTTAAAGGATTTATATATAGCTATTTATTCTACAAGTCAAATGTTGTATTTTGTTGATATCTTACATTTTCAACAAGCCAGCTTATATTGTATTTACCTACATTAGCAGACCAAATTTTAAAGCATTTTCATGAGTGCTGGACTAGGAAATGTATTGGAAATGAAGTAATTGTCTGACCCCAACAGAATTTAATTGCATTCAATTTCCTTTCCAATTAAACACTTTTTACTTATCGACCCTGACCCTTTCCATGTTTTACCGTTTTCTCAACTTACCTGTGACCTTGTCTGAAAGCAACTCACCAATAACAACTCATCTTAGAAACATTTTTAGATGAAAAGTGTGAACAACAGTTGAATTCAAAGTAGGGTGAGTAGTCCAGTACTAGTGGTAAGCGGTCTGGGCTAAGAGGTTTGGAGTTCGAATCCCGCGACCGTTGTACCTCACCCAACATACGCTACTGGAAAGGGTCACAGTCCTGTAGGACGGGACGTTAAGCCGTAGTCCACTGTTCATTGTACTTGTCGAACAGAGCTCGGGGGATTTCTCCGGTACAATGAACCTGTAAATACTGTACATAGGGTCTATCTTCTCTATCACGACCAGTGGAAGTTTATTTCTTTAGTGAGCTAAAACTGGGTCGAGATCAATTTCACCACTTTTAACATCAGATAGAAGTGCTGCACACGTGGGATGTTTTCGTGTAGATTATTAAAAGTAAAAAACATAATTCAGTTGAATATTTTACTGCTGGTTAATTTTGATGAAATTTCATTGACTCTTTATCTAATAGGAAATTTCGTTTTCTTAATGTTGTCCCAGAAAACCTATAGGTAGATGTAAATTTGATTGTTCGTTATTTATTTAAGGAGCTCTTCTCTAGATGTGTGGAATAATTTTAAGCCTATTAATGATGTACTTTCAACAGTTGTGACATGGAATGTAAATTGTGCTTTGATATTCCTGTATTTCCAAATATATGCTGAAATGTGAGGGACTTCCGTTGTGATTAGAGTGCTTTCATTGCTGAAATTAATAGACTGGCTGAGTGGGTTCATCCTGTAATTTGGCATGAATACATTTGTATCCGCGTTGACAATTATATCAGCCCTCATTATGCACATTTCATGAAACATCTATACCGCTATTTTTGATGGCCGTCTCTAGAGAGGTAGGGAGACAGAGGTTTAAGTATGCCGACATTAATCTATTTTGGCCTGGAACTACATTGAACACTGCACGCAGAGCTAAATGTATCCCTGGGCTAGCTCTACGCGGTAGAATACATTGTACGTTGTATATTCCGAGAACCACGTGTATAGATATCATTAGTGTGCCATTTTAGTGACTATTATTCGGGAAATTAATCAAGATTAAATATCTTGTCTGGCTGAAGCCTGGAAAATGATTTAACTGTTTGTTAAGTAGTTTGATTGAGATTGTTTTTGTTGTTATGTACTTAACTGGATGTTTCATTCTTGACCTTTTCCTGGAATAAAGTGCTTTGCAGTATTTGATGACCACGTCGTAGACTTTACTGACCGAAATTGAGGGGAACAATTAGGCCAAATGAAGCAATAGACAATTCATACCAGTACCATAATTTGTCTTTCCAATGTATTAACCATACAAGAAAAATGGGGCAGGACTGTAGACATGTACATACAGAGTACTTCTGACATGGTATTTGGTACAGAAACAGCAGTAAGTCAGGTCAGAATCTCACACACTCTGCAATCTGCTATGTTTTGCATATTTGTTGATGTGCATAATGCAAATTACCTCAAAATACAAAATGTCAACTCTCAGTATACATTGTATATGATTCAATATGACACTGCCCACATTTGGTGGTCAGAAGGAAAAGTGCATCAGGTGTTATACAGGCTTCACTAGTCGTCAGATCATATCAGATCTCTCTCCAGCATTTGTCCTTGCATCCTTGGACGGAATTTTGGGATAACAATTTTGGATCATCAACTATACCACAGACTTTTTTTTTCAAAATTACGATGAAGCTTAACACGTGTATTTGAAATCTAGCCTTCAAAATGAAGGAAATAGCATCAAGAGATCAGAATATCCCATGTCAGTCTTGCTTACTTCAGCGCGTCAGAAAGAGTAAAGCTCCGTAAAAGTGAGACAACCGCAATAAGAAGCCTGGACTCCATAAAGGTTACACCCATTAGAGCGGGAGGGCAGAAAACAGTCAAGACAAGAAGGTTAGTTACATACCACTAAGACAAACATACAATGTACAAGCCTTAGAGCAAACAAACAAGGCAACAGGAGTTGACATCAGGACCTTCTAGTAAGTCTCTGTGGCTGGATAAAGATCATGTGGCAAGCCATGGATGGGGTAAAAAAGCTTCTTCTGATCTATATACAAAATGAGGCCAATCCCAAACAGATATCATCTTGCACAATCACTCATAACACATTTGGTTACACTACTGTAATATACTTGTTATGCCAAAGACCTGACTGGTAGCATAAAAAGTGTAAAGCTCAGTTGTAATTTTAGACTGTGTGAGCATATACAAGTAGGTCACACTACCATCACTGCAGGCACGTGTGAAAAGATTCTTAGTTTTTCCCTGTTCTTTTTAACAAATTCTCAACTTTTTAAAAACTTAAAAATTAATAAATAAATAAATCAGCTTTTATTTAAAATTCCATAGACATACTTGGAGTGCATTTTAGGGTTACTCATGCATTGTTATTAATATTCTCATACCAGGGACGAATATAATAGTAACTGAAGAAGAAAGGTTTTGTTTCCTTCATAATCACGTCTTATTTTGGGTATATATTTGTTGAAAATTATTATTGAAAGTGATGCATCCCCAGGCCTGATCACTGATGGATATTTGTGAATATCCAACTTTGGATTGTTGTTTAAACTGCAGCTGAGATTCAGTCTGGCACTTATTATTGAAGCATAATTAAGGCCACACCAATTTAATTTGTTGTTTCTCGGATTCGTCCATTTTTTCTGATTTGCAAAAAAAAAATAAAAATTTTTTTAGGTTCAAAATCAACTGCAAAATGCTCAATGAAAGACATATTTTGGCCTGAACGGTTGAAGAAAGTCCTTTCCTTCCTACTTTCCTACTATAAGTTTTTCAATGTAACAATGCAACTTTGTTTCATTAAAAGTTCAAAATCTATTTTTTTAGTTATAAACCAGCCTAGTATGCTGACTTCATGGCTCATATCGTAACATTTCCGGCTATCATGGGGTGCCTTGGCCTGTTTTTTTTTGCTCTGTCGCTTCATATTTTTTTCTGAAAAATAGAAAGAAATTAAATTGGTGTGGCCAAAGGTTTCCATATTAATTTTTCTCATATACCATAAAATAGTATCTATTCACATAAAAATACCAAATTATGCCATACTAAATTTCTGACAAGATTTCTTTTTATTGGAGACCTACTAGCTATAGGAAATGAAAGCCTTCTAGTACTACAATTAAATTGCAGCTTTAGAATTCTTTCTCAATTCAAGTTTTTGATATCGTGCGGCCCCAATTTGCAGCACAAACAAACTCCGGTGCTCTCCAGTAATTGATGTTTCCAGTTTGAATGGCCCAGAAATGGTCACTCTTCATCCCCCTCTCCATCTTCTTCATCTTCTTCCTCTTCACTGGATGTGACATCAGGGTCTTCTGCCTCCATGATGCACTTCTCACATCTGCAGGAAAAGAGATAATTCTCCCTGAAAATGAGAAAACATTATCAGTCAACCCGTGTTGGAAAGTAAAATAAGGTAAGTGCATTATTCTCAACTGTGCTTTGCCATTGATGGTTATCAGTCTAATTTTCCGAGAGTCGTTGAGAAATTATGCAACCATACTGTCCACAAATGTAGATCAAAGGACAATTAGACCAAATCTAGGGATCTAGGAGTTATTAAACGTACACGTACATGTACATGTGAAGAAAGTCGGACATGATGCTGGAATAACTACATGTACATTGTACACTGGGACAAAAAAACAAAACAATAACAGAATCTGATGTATGAGCCTTTGTGGCCCTTGCAAGAGTGCAATTACATGTATATCCTAATCATTACGGTTTCTCCTGAGTAATTTTTATAAGTTGTCATACCTGGGTCATTTAAAATCTAACAGACTTGTAACCTTAACAAATAAATGCCGTCTTGGGCAAACTCAGGCGATCACTCATTTTAAAGCACGTCCGCACATTCCTTCCAACATCTACTCTGTTAACTTTGTACAAAACTATATTTTTGACACATATTATATACGCCTGCACTGTCTGGGACACTGCGCCCGAACGTGAGTTGGGGAAATTGCAAAGGATGCAGAACCGAGCTGGCAAGCTGATTCTACGAGCCCCGTATCTAACTCCATCAGCCGAAGTCCACCGACGTCTGGGCTGGATGGACGTAAAGTCAATCCACAAACATCACAAAGCCCTCCTACTACATAAGGCCCTGAACAACCAACTACCGCCGTACATGCGCCGGATTTTCACATACTGTAGGGATAGAGCGACCAGAAGCACCAGACAAAGCGCGACTGATCTCCCTGCGATACCGATTGCCATTAAGAGAAATATACCGGAGATCCCTAGCCTACTCTGGCTCGCTTGTTTGGAACGCTCTTCCTCAGCATGTTAGAGCAGCACCTACTCTTAGAACCTTTAAAAGACTGCTAGTATCGTAACTGACTTTGACTGAACGACTTTGGACACAACGACTTATGAGTTATTTATTAGTTATTGCCATTTTGTTTATTTATTTACTTTGTGTGAGTTACCTTGTGTATATAAATTATTACAATGTACCTTGTTTTCATTTATGAGCAAGT